GCCACTGCTGCTATGGCCAGGTGGAACGGTGCCACATGTCTCCTGTGCGGAGAGTGGGAAACAGCTGTGGCAGGAGCGCCTGTTCCCTTCCCAATCCAACCCCACAGTCTCCTGGAAAGGGGCATGCAGAGCAGGTAGAACTGAACAAGGAGTTACCCAGTAAGCTGAGGCAGTACAACTGGGGTGCCGCCAAATTCAAGAAAGCTACGGAGGTGTGCCCTGACTAAGAGGTCGAGAACTACTGCACTAGAATAATTTAAGAGCATCCAGGGCAGTCTGTTTTAATTAAGCTACCCCTAGAGGACCCCAAAGATTGTTCACACAGTTCCTCTATGGAATAAAACCGATGCTAAGAAAGGGACTGGCAGAACATGCTTAAACTCTGGTCTCTTATGTGAGGACATAATGAAGCTCAAACCTTTCTAATCTGCAGGAATCCTAGCTTTCTCAGTTTAATATACTAATTTCTGTTAAATATAATTATTATATACTATAATATATAACATCAGATGATAAATAATAATAAAGAATATGCATCTACATATAGCAATTTGGAAGCCTACCAGTGCCTCAATCAGGATCATAAAATAATATTTAAATACCTATATTTTGGCATTTGATTTTGGGGTTTGTTTTTTTTTAAACCACAGAAAGAAATCAGAGCTCCCCGCCCCCTCCACTCACCAGGTTATGGGTCCAGTTGCAGCTGTCTCCCCCCACATGGTTTTGTGGCACCGAGCAACTCTGATATGCTGGTGCCCTGCCCATGCCATTGCCCCTTAACTCGACCCACAGCCCCCTCAGTGCCCCCACACAGCCCCCCAAAGCCCCAGCCTTGCCCAACTCCCTCCTTCATTATTGAGGCCTCAATTACCACCCCCACCCTGACTTACCTGCAGGGAGCTGCTCTCTAGGCTGCTAGGTGCATGTGTACGTATGCACACACACAGCACCCCCTTGCCAATGATCACCCTCCTCCTGCTCCCCCACCACCCCTTGCAGGCTGGTACTTGAGAGCCTGCAAGGGGACATCCCTGTTTCCTGCATTTTTCTCCTTTAAAAGGAGAAAATCTGGGTTTTACTGCATTTTCCTGCTGCGAACAGAAAACCCAGATCCCTGCTAATCAGAAAGACATTTACATTCCAGTATCTTAGTTCCACAGACGGTACCCCAAGTTTTTTCTTCCTTTCATAAGCAGTTATTCACAGTTCCACTTTACCTGTCAGTTTTCTCTGCAGATGTGGATGGAGCTGCCAGTTCCTCTTCCATTCTACAACTGCACATTCAGAAACAATTAGAACAGACTCCCAGGACTGTCGCATTATCAAATGGTGACTGACTAACCTGTAGTTCACATTTCTAGGCTGAACAAGACCATACAGGTTCAGATTTTTGAGCCTGTGGCATAGCTGTTTGCAAACTCTGTGGACCATGGTGCAAGCCAAAATGAGCAGGCTGCTTTGTGGAAAAACTGTCTAAACCAGAAATTTCTGCTTGTGGCACATAAGTTTGGCATTTTCTGATAAAGGTAGAAAAAGGAACGTAGGCCTTTTCTACGCAAGTTTCCATTTAGACAAAGCCTTGAAGAGCTTCAGATGGAAACCTTTTTATCAGGCCTAATTTTTAAAAGGGATGTTCTTAATTACCGTAAACTCACATCAAATCAATCACATAACATTCCTTTGGCTCCCACAGCAACAGCTCCTTGCACCTAATGAAACCAGAGATGTATACCAAGCTTGTGTAAGCAGGGGGCTTCCTAAAGGTGCTGCAAAGGGACTGCAGGAAGCAGAGCCACTAAATAGAGAGCAGCAATTAAAATACAAAGGATAGGGAAGGGGTAAGGAAAAAGAGGGCAATGCCAAGTGCAGTAGGGTACAACCATATCTGCTCTGATCCCACCAGCCAGGATGCAGGGAGGGAATCACACCACTACAACAAAAAAACCATAGCCACTCAAGTCAGAGACGGACTTGACCCCCGCTCCAACACTTGGCTGGAGATGAGAATGATGAAATTCCTTTGGGTGTCACCTAAAGCCCACTGCTTGAACATGCCAGACATACATTAATAACCCCCAGGCCCCCCTCGTAGTCCCCCAGAAGAGAAGAGCTGTCTCAAAGCAGCCGTGGGGGACACACCTGTCCTGGCTTACAGGCACCTCCCCAACCTCGACCATGACATCTCCAGCAATTAGTCTGGGCCAACCAGACTCTCACTGGAGACTACCCAAGTCTTTTTCTCACTAAGGCATCAGACCTGCCAACAGACCACATCACCGCTGGACCAGACCACACAGATTGCAACATCCGAGATCAACATAGATGCAGGTAAATGAACATCACGCGCATCATCACTTGCTTACGGCGCTTCCGCTGCCTACACCGGACAGGCGGAGCGATCCCTGCAATTAAAGTGAACGAACACCGATCCAACAACACTACCAAAACAACACAAGCCTGTAGCAAAGCCTCCGACCTCCCCATGGCTGATCTCAGAGCAGCTCTCCTTAGACAAAGAAAACCTTTAAAAAACTAGCTTGAGCAGGAAATGGCGGAATGAGAACTCATCCACAAGCTGGGTTAAGTAGAAGCAATGGTCTCAAATTGCAGCAAGGGAAATTGAGGTTAGATAGGAGGAAAAGCCTCTCTGGCAAGGAAGGTGGTGAAACGCTGGAGCAGGCTCCCCAGGGAGGTGGTAGGGTCTCCATCCTAAGAGGTTTTGCTGACCCAGGTAGACAAAGCCTTGGCTGGGATGATGTAGTTGGGGCCGGTCCTGCTTGGAGCAGATGCAACTCCCGAGCTCCCTTCCAGCTCTGTTTCAGATTCAGAGTATGGTCACAACCGAGACCATGGAGCCGTATCGCATTACCTGGATTATTTTTTAAGACCCTCAGTGGGCTAACAGCTTTGTTTCTCTCCGACCCTGCTTGCCTCTCTCAGCAGTGCTTGCATTTCCCTACCCTTTCTATTCTGATCACCGCCTCCTGCGGCCCCTTCGCAGAATCTGAAGTAATCCCCACCCCCCTTGTTAAACCTTGCGCTATATTTGGATACAATGGGTCTATAAGAAGGTATATGTCACCTGCCTTCTCCCTGACCGCAGACTGAGACAGGGAACTACACACCTCTATTTAAAACGGGTGCATTCAACTTCACGCAACTCCTCGCTCGAGCTTTTATTCCACCCGAGAGCCTACAAACACCAATAGGCTTCTCCCCTGCGCCTGAGGAAGGGGGTTTGTGCCCGGAAATATTGTTTGTTGCAAACTTTCAGTGATTTAGTTGGTTTAATAAAAGTTTGCACGATTCACCTAAAGAACCATGTGTGCCTATGGTCCTTAGCAGAGCCTTATCAGGATAGCTGACAGCCCACAGCATCTACGCAAGCCCGATGAAGGAAATGCCTTAACAGAAGAGGCCCCCGTTTCCTTGCAGACATGAGACCCACCATCTTCGCTTGCCAGCACCCTTGTTTCCCTTGCAAAGCATAAGGAAGGGGTATTTTAAGCAAAACTGCTGGGAAGGAGGTGGGGGGGAGATAGGTGACCTCCACCACAGCTCTAGAAACACGAGATTATAAAAAAAACCATGTCACACCCCTAAAGGGAGAGCCACCACCACAGATTCAGCCGTCCAGGAAAATGCCTTTTCACATTTCGTGGCTTAATGTCGCCCCCTCGTTTGTGATCACCAAACGAGCCCCCCCGCCGCAGCGCACGCACACACGTGTGCGCGTATGTGTAAAAAGCGGGGGGGTTGACCCCGCCCCTCCCCTCCCCTCCCCCTCACGGGGACAATAGGCGCTTTCCCGCCTTTCCCCGGCGCGGCTCCGCCCCCCCCGCTTGGCGCCAAAATCCCAACGGCCGCGGCCACGTGACGCGCCAGGCCCCGCCCCCCGCCTCGCGGCAGGTGACGGGGCTTCGCCGCCCCCAACAAAGATGGGGGCCGGGTCACGTGGTGCCTCCAGCCAGGCTGTGGGGGGAGGGGGGCGGCACGTACCACTGTGGCTGAGAAGGGGGGGCACGAGGGAGAATCCATATCACTGCCTTCACACCACGCGCGAGGCCTTGGCCTTCCCCATCCCGCTTCCCCCCCACCACGCTTCCCGCC